TAATGATGCTGAAAATTCAGCTTTGATCACAGAAATAAATTACATTTTAAAATATATTCAAATAGAAAGCAGTTATTTTAAATAGTAAAAATATTTCAAAATGTTACTGCTTTTGGTGCATTTTGGATCAAATAAATGCAGGCTTGGTGAGCAGAAGATAATTCTTTAAGAATTCTTGCAGTTCAAAAACCTTTTACTGGTAGTGTAGGCTGATTATTTTTATAGATTGAAACGTGCATTAACCAGGATAACGAGTATGAAACATGCTCCGAGTTGCTTCAGAAAACAAAAAAATAGAGCAACAACAAAAGCATGTTGCTGGAAATGGGTTTATTATTGAAAATGCAAACTGCTTGTCTGCCAGCAGGAGGCGCTGTGAGAGCGGCAGAACTAACGGTTTCTCCAGTAATGACTGTAAACAAAGCAGCTCCGCTCATGAACGCTACTTTATCAGATAAAAATGCCATCTAAACTATTCTGAAGACAGTCGGTTCCATTCAGAGATACATTCATATAAAACACCCGCGACGCGTTTTGATTTTGAAACGTGCAGTGCTCATGTTTATTCAATGAAGTCAAATGCCACAAATAAATCAATGTATGGGAAACACTGGTAATGTATATCGAAATATCGGAAATGTGTTTAAAAATCATATCACTGTTATTGAAAGAAATTATATCGCGATACATATTGATATTGAATTATTGTCCAGCCCTATGAGAACAGGACGCCGCATCCTCGTGTACATGATGTCGTCAATAATTTGAACAGGCCTTGTTTTAGCACATTTAACCAGATGTAAATTAAACACCCCCTCTTGAGGAAACGCGCAGTCCTTAATTAATTTCCCATGAAGAGCGGCGAGTTGAAGAGGCCTCTCGGATATAACTGGCCCTCCTACTATTCCTGTCGCAGCTCCTTCTCACAAGAATGAAGGATGAGCTCTTGGCAGATTTGTTTGTTTGGTGTTTAGCTGATAGAGAGAGGGAAAGAGGTCAGTTTCATTTTTGACCATTTTTTGTACAGATTAGGCTATAGATGAGTAGTAATTTATTAGGTATTATATATTACAGATGTGTATAAAATTATGAAATAATTTTTTTCATATTACATTTATTTTTATTTTTCAATTTAAATGTATCATTTGTCCAACATAACATAGAAAATTTCCATCTTGCAAATGATTATAGAGCATTTGCTAATTACTGTTGAGTAAGAAATATTTAACTACACTGAGTTTTATTTTGAATTTTAAATGGCTATATATATATAATATGTAATTCTGCATTTTATATAAAACAGTATATATAATTACATTTGAACTAATTTAATTGAATTTCAAAAATTCTAAATAATTTGTAAAAAATAATATTTTTTAACAAACCCCTTACCCAAAGTTTTATAATACATACTTTATAACTCCTGCAAAAAAAAAAGTATTTATATTTACCCGTGACTCTACATAACACAAGCTGTTTGGAAAATAGGTGGATGGACAAATTTATAATATATATAATGTAAATGTAATTTATATTATTTTCTATGTTAAATGTTTTTTA